GTAATATATCAAGTTGTACTTTTTATTACAATCTGCATGTGTTTCTGTAGGCACAGTAAGTTTAAAGTTGTATATTACCCGCTAACTAATTCAGTTGTTTGGAATTGCTTCATGCTGCAATAAATATATATATACAGCTATCCAGTATAGTAATAATATAACTGCAATAAATATATATATCCAGTATAGTATAATGTGATATACCATGGACATTGGACATAATTTAATATGTTTATAGTTCAAATTTTGCAACAAAAGGTGGAATTACAGTATTAAACATGCATGTGATAATTATTGTAAACAAAGTGACGAGTAAATTACTGTACATTTTAACGCTGCATACTTATAAATATTAAATAGTCAGTATAAACATTGTGAAACAAGCTTAATACAAACAATATGCAATGAATATTATCAAAATAATTCTCAATATTGTTTCATGAAAGAGAAGCGATATATAAATGCCTTGTCCCTAGGTTTCGGTCTGCGAATTTGTTCAGTCTTTTCTTAGGGGCCGATTACATGGAGCATTTTCAACCCCGGGGTTGAACTCAGCCCTGTTTACCGGGTTGAAATTTCAGCCCCGTCTGTAATACAAAACTCTATCAAAATCAAACGCGCGATTACATGACAAAATTTTCAACCCAGGGCTGAGATCAACCCCAGGGTTGAAATTTCAACCCTGCTTCAGCTAGCAGGGTTGAAATTTCAACCCCGGGGTTGAACTCAGCCCGGGGTTGAAAATTTTGTCATGTAATCGTTTCAGCCCAGGGCTGAAATTTTCGAGCATGCGTGGTAGTGACTATTTATTACAAGAAAACAAAATGGAGGCTATCGAGCAAACGTGGACGATCCATGACGACGTATTAATGCAAAAAGAGGCTGCAGAGCCAGGCGTACCAACTGCTGCAAGTAAAGAAAAACGATTTCGCTGGGACAAGGACGAAAAGGTAAACAACTTGATACGCTGCTTGGCGAACTACAAAAGCCAATCGGAGTTCAATAATTGCGACTTCAATGCCGATAAAGTTAAGCAATATGAAGAAGTGCGTGTGGCGATGGCCAAAATTTATCATAAAGATCCATCACAATTTGGTCCCGCATCCGTTCTTTCAAGTCCATTAATAGCCGTGAGTGATGCTTTACTTACTGAAGAGCAAAAGCGAGAAAAAGTAAAGTTAAAAAAGCAGCAGGACGAAGACAAGAAATTCATTAAAAGAGGATACCAGCGTATTCATGAAAAGTTGAAAGATATTCGCCAAAATTTTTCTATTGCAATCACCAGTGGTCGTCGTAGTGGTAGCGGGAAGGTCGTTCTAGAATTCTATGATGAACTGGTACAAATATGGGGTGGCTCTCCTGCTACTGAACCTCTGTCGTGTGGAACAAGCACCGAAACAGTGAACAGTCTTGAGCAAAGTATACTTGACAACATGAATCAAGAAGACGAAGATTTTGGTCATGATGACCCTGTTATTACGAATGTAAGCAAATCTTATCTAAATATTAGTTTTTTTCTTTATGTACCACATATTTTTTGAGATTTTCAGTCACAATCTTGACATGTTTTATATGGCATCAAAGTGACAAACTGTGGTTTAAGAATATTCTGTTAGCTATTTAATATACAAAGTTAACATATACAATGGCCTCTCATTATGTTGTCTGTGCATTTATGATAGTAATCTCACTCACCATATACTACTAATACCAGATTTCCCCATATACTACTAATACCAGATTTCCCCATATACATAACATCTTGGGATATCATGCATTAAAGTCTATCCTGTTATTTAGCCGCCTTCACAGAGTGTAGAAACTGTAGATGATGGTCTGACTGAAGCCCCTGCATCAGTAATTGATAAAACAGTCACCGATTCTAAAAAGCGAAAAGCTGAAACAGTTAAGCCTGCAATTCCACAACTGATTGACAATAAAAGAAAACACATGGAGCGCCAGTTGAGTGCTGCTCAACGAGATCAGCTGCTTATGCAAGAATCAAAAGAGGATTCCCAGTTTAAAAAGGATATGACAGAAGCTATTAAGCAGTCTGATCAGACATTTGCCAATGCAATGCAGCAAATGAGCCAATCTATTGTTCAGGTAGCTGAAGGCTTGACGCAATCCATGAAAGTAATAAGTCAAGGTTTCATGCAGCCTGTGATGCAGTCAAACAATCAACAACAAGCGTTTACACCTTATCAGCCCCCGTATACTGGCCTAACTTCTAGTGCAGCTGTTTATAATAACTTTGGCACACATCAGTTCAACTTTGAAGATGGTACATCACAGATATCTGGTAGCTCTGAAAAAAGTACTTATCATACTCTGTAAGTGATCTAAGTATTTTCTCTTGTTGAACACAAAAACGGTTTCATGTTACAGTGTAGTACAGTATGATACATGCACCTTTATGTTGACAGACTTGGTTATCAAATGACACAAATAGGTATAATTAGTCAAGATGAAAAGTTTGTTTTAATTGTTTATATTAATATTTTAATTGTTCTGTTAATTGTTCTGTGCAATATTAAACTTTAATGCATGTTAGTTACAAATATGTCTGATGTACATACTGTAGTTTTATGCATGTATATAATACAATATGTATTAAAACTGCAATGTTTGTGCTAAAGGCATGCATTCATCAACACAGATTACATAATTATGTATGAACTATTTCAATAATAATTGTCAGGTAAATTATGTGTGATATAGTCTGTGAGAATCGATCGAACAAGTTCACCTTCCGAATTATTGTATGAATACACTTGGTCAGGCATATTTGGGCTTGAGTCTTCATCTCTTACATGCTGTTGCATCTGGAGGGTCATTTCTTCTTTGTCTATCAAGCAATCCTTGTTCCGTTCACAGTAATTGTGTAAAACAAAGCAACTATATATGACAGTTGGAATTGAATCAAATTTCAAATCCACCTTTCGAGTAAGAAATCTCCAGCGAGCCTTCAACCTACCAAAGGCACACTCAACTTGGTTCCTGGCTGAGCGAAGCATGTTATTAAAAATGACTTGACCATTATTAGAACATGATTGGTACTCCTTCAAACAGAATTGTGTTAGGGGAAATGCAGGATCTCCAATAAGATAGTTTGGTACTGCATCATGACCAGGGAGCACTGTGAGGTATGTGATAGGTAGTTTTCCATTGTTAAGGTTTTTACAAATACAGGAGTTTGCAAACACCTTGGCATCATGCACTGAGCCTGGCCATCTACATTCCACATCCATGAAATACCCATTACTGTCACACACAGCTTGGATGTTGAGAGAAAAGAATTGTTTGTAGTTGAAGAAGTCTTGTGAGTTGTCTGGAGGGCGTTTGAGAGCAACATGCGTTCCATCAATGCAGCCAATAGCCTGTATCATGCCAAATTTCAGTTCAAATTCTGAAGCTTTTTGCCTCATTTCATCTTTATTCCTTGGTAGGTGTATATACGTTGGCCCTAGCAACTTGTTTATGGCTGAACATACTTCAGTTATCACTTTCGTCACTGTACTTTGATGTATACCAAACGTATTTGCGGTCATCCACAACGAGCCGGTGTCCTTCAAATAATACAATGTGACTGCCAATTTTTTGTCTGTTGTAAGGAATCTATAATTCGGTGAGTTTAGTTTTGGCCCAATCACTGGGTCTAATTGAGCTACTAAATTGTAAAAACACTCTTTGCTCATTCTCAAATTTTTATTCCAAGTGCCTGGTGGGATATTCTCATGCAATAAATTTGTCCACCACTGATCCGTTCTTCCATTTGCTACCCATATTGTTCTCCGTTTTCTGCACAGTCTGCGAAGTTTGAGATGCTTCTTTCTTTTAGCCCATTTGTTGTTTTTTAAACACAAATACGCGCTAATCAGCAACATTCGCTTTTTTTGTAAGAGCTTATAGGCAATGGCCATAGCATTAAACTGTAATATCAAGGTTATTAACACCCCAAATTGGAAAAAAATAAGTATTGCGATACATTTCATATTTTCGGCAGCCATCTTTTAAAATTTCCCGCTTTTTTACTTCCGGGAATTACAAATACCGGGAACGTGCAGCATTTCAACCCCGGGCTTGTAGATTTCAACCCCGGGGTTGAAATCGTTCATGTAATCGCAAAAAATTTCAACCCGGTAAACAGGGCTGAGTTCAACCCCGGGGTTGAAAATGCTCCATGTAATCGGCCCCTAAGCCTAGAAGTCAGACAAGCACAGGACACAATATAAAAGCATGCAAGCTTTTAGTATTCGTCTTTATATGAATACTATATTATTTTACTGTAAGAAGTCAACAAGGATACAAAATACATGACACTTTTATCTCTACATTGCCGCAAGTCTGAAGCTTTGCGTTGCTCGGTTTACAAACAGGAAGTGTAGTTTATGGAAGCTTGTCAATCACTTCATTTGAATCAGTTATCAACCAATCAGAGCTCTGCGTCCAAATTTTGGACGCATGCACGTAAATATCATAGGGATCCTTGCAGGCTCTCTTTCACCCAGAGAGCCTGCTCGCAGGCTACAGACGACCCGTCTTTCGAGTAATCCTTCGTGGATACCGTTGGGGGAGGGGGTAGTATCGCATTTGCCGACAATATTTCAGTCGCTAATTATTTCTTTTCCCAAAATTGTTGGCGAGCGGTGGGCGGGAGAGAGATTTGTTATTTTTTGGTTATAACTATTACTTTTTAGTCAGAGTCGCTTGAATATTTTCGCTGACTACGAAACCAATTTGCCGATAAATCTATTATTTTCGGAGTTTTTGTAGTCTCTAATGTAGTGCAAATTACCAAACGAATCATTACAAATCATGAATTCAAACGAAATTATCAATATATAATTCGAATTTCGAAATACTAAAATATGAAGATATTTAATTTTAAATATATGCGTTGCACTTACCAGTTGTAGGAATACGAGGCGTTGTCGTCATTTCTTTCTTAGTTGTAAGACTGTAATATTTCTGTAAATGATATATTTTAAACTATAAAGCGCTTGTATAATATAGTAAAAGTGTATTAGGCCGAGGAGACCAAGTTGCTGTTAGGTTTACAGTAACCTTCAGGTTGGGTAATGCTTAGGCATTTATCACACATAATTTAAGTATTCATATATACGTACCAATCTTTTTATAACATCGATAAAAAACACCCAGCCTTGATCATCATGATTTGCCATGTTGTTCTTGCCAGTAGTGTTGCTGAGTTGGCAGTTTACTGATGGACTGTTTGTACCAAATTTGTATTTAAATCCAGCACATGCTGGTTCATTACCACAGTTAAATGAACAGTGGATATCAGAACGGACACTGTGGTTGGATATAACATCTTTCCATGCCAAAGCTGGAACTATTAAATAATTATAGCAGTCAGACAAGCCATCACGCAAATCATTCAAACAACCAACGACCCAAGCAGCATTTCAACGATTAAACCATCAGTTGCACAACATCTCGTCAAACCAACAAGCGTGAGGCTTTTCCGCAATTAAGTTGTAACAATATTATCATCTTTTATTATATAAAGTATAGTGCTTTATGTACTAATTAAAATAATTATGTCAGTCAGTTATTGAACAAGCCATCACCCAAATGATTCAATCAACCAACAACCACCTATAAGCAGCCATTCAACGAGTAAACCATCAGTTACACAACATTTCGTGAAACCAATTTAACAAGTGCGAGGCTTTTCTACAAGTTGTAACAATATTATCATTTTATATATCAGATTGCTAATAAAACTTATTTAACCATTTAGGAAATACGAACAATTACATGTTGATATTATTAATTAAAATATAAAACAACGGTAACTCCTAAAATAAACATTTTAATATTCTAGATTTCGACTAAGATTCAGTCATCATCGGGAATATATATATATATATATATATATATATATATATATATATATATATATATATATATATATATATATAATTTGTTGTGGACAACATACTTGGATAATAAATATATAGATTTTGAACGTAAAGGATACAGCCTAAACCCAATTTATATGGTCTTGGTAGACCTGACTATACCTGGGGTATAGTCAGGTCTACCAAGACCATATAAATTGGGTTTAGGCTGTATCCTTTACGTTCAAAATCTATATATATATATATATATATATATATATATATATATATATATATATATATATATATATATATATATATATATATATATATATATATAT